TGAGTGTCTTGCTTTATGTCTGTCGATCATTCTGTGTGTGTGGCCGTGTGATGTATATAGTTATGAAGGAACCCACTTGCGTAATGGGAGTGGAAACGTTTGGGTGCGTGTTGGAGCCTTCCTTACAAGGAGGTGACCAAGGCGGGATGGGGGGAGGGAGGGTGAGTGGAGAGAGAGGTAAAGCATAGTAAACATCTATATTAAGGTGCTTTAATTTACACTAATACGTTACATTTTTACCGGCTTGGTCGATCCCGCCAAAAATACTTCACGTGAGGACGCGGTGGCGTCTGGTGGCGTCTGGTGGCAGTACAGTAGGACTACAGCAACAAGCAATGTGGTTGTTAGTCACAGTGCACAGGGAAGGAAAGTTAATGATGGAAAACCCCTAAGCCAGTGTGACAGCCAATCTGGAAACCCCTAAGCCAGTGTGACAGCCAATCTGGAAACCCCTAAGCCAGTGTGACAGCCAACCTGGAAACCCCTAAGCCAGTGTGACAGCCAACCTGGAAACCCCTAAGCCAGTGTGACAGCCAACCTGGAAACCCCTAAGCCAGTGTGACAGCCAACTGGGAAACCCCTAAGCCAGTGTGACAGCCAACCTGGAAAAACCCTAAGCCAGTGTGACAGCCAACCTGGAAAAACCCTAAGCCAGTGTGACAGCCAACCTGGAAAACCCCTAAGCCAGTGTGACAGCCAACTGGGAAAACCCCTAAGCCAGTGTGACAGCCAACTGGGAAACCCCTAAGCCAGTGTGACAGCCAACTGGGAAACCCCTAAGCCAGTGTGACAGCCAACAGGGAAACCCCTAAGCCAGTGTGACAGCCAACTGGGAAACCCCTAAGCCAGTGTGACAGCCAACTGGGAAACCCCTAAGCCAGTGTGACAGCCAACTGGGAAACCCCTAAGCCAGTGTGACAGCCAACTGGGAAACCCCTAAGCCAGTGTGACAGCCAACTGGGAAACCCCTAAGCCAGTGTGACAGCCAACTGGGAAACCCCTAAGCCAGTGTGACAGCCAACTGGGAAACCCCTAAGCCAGTGTGACAGCCAACTGGGAAACCCCTAAGCCAGTGTGACAGCCAACTGGGAAACCCCTAAGCCAGTGTGACAGCCAACTGGGAAACCCCTAAGCCAGTGTGACAGCCAACTGGGAAACCCCTAAGCCAGTGTGACAGCCAACTGGGAAACCCCTAAGCCAGTGTGACAGCCAACTGGGAAACCCCTAAGCCAGTGTGACAGCCAACTGGGAAACCCCTAAGCCAGTGTGTCAGCCAACTGGGAAACCCCTAAGCCAGTGTGACAGCCAACTGGGAAACCCCTAAGCCAGTGTGACAGCCAACTGGGAAACCCCTAAGCCAGTGTGACAGCCAACTGGAAAATATTAATTAGAAGGGAACAAGAACACATGGTTCTTGTATATATAAAGCATGTATACAATATTTGTGCATGTATACAAGGTGGTCAATATAGTCCCCCCACTCTGGACACTGACGAGACACAGGCCAACCACCAGCATCAATCACCACCACCAATCACCACCACATTACCACATGCAGTGTTCATACAAGAGCCGCACCAACCGGGTTGTACTGCATGTGTGGATCACTGCATTCACACACATGAATGTACATGTGTGGATCACTGCATTCACACACATGAATGTACATGTGTGTACACTGCATTCCCCGACCCTCGAATAAATGTTATAACACGTTGTACAACATCTTGACGGATTGATACATTAAAGTATTATAGGATGCTTACCTGTGCTTAAAGACCAAACGTTTAGTGCAAAATTACCAGATATATAATTTTCACATCTGTATTTATGGATGAGAAAAGTAGAAAACAAAGTAGATGACGTCAGGCGGCAATTTTGTAATGTTGAGTAGTTCACAAAGTGTAATACCTGGCATGAAACAGGTGTCACCAGCCCCTCGCCCAGGACTGGCCGAGGGGCAGGTACAGCCAGTCTTGCCACACAAATGGCTTCATTAATTAAGTCAAAGTAACTGACAAATGGTTCATTCTGGGTGGGACCTTGACCACGTGTTACTCAATGAGGTGAAGGAAGCCCTTCTGCAGGACGGTCTCGTGGTCTTTACCTCGGGCATCTGTACACCAGCTGAGAGGCGGGACCAGAGAGCCCAAGCTCAACCCCCGTAAGATCAACTAGGCCAGTACACACACAGAGGATCGCATGTAAACATTACCCGAGTGGCTTCTCGCCGCCGCTTAATTGTTCTTCCTGCATAACCACCCACTTGGATTGTTCGCGATAACTTGCAGCTGCTTGTTCAGCCACGTGGTTAACATCCCAGCAACTGGTTGTTCAGCCACGTGGTTAACACCCCAGCAACTGGTTGTTCAGCCACGTGGTTAACACCCCAGCAACTGGTTGTTCAGCCACGTGGTTAACACCCCAGCAACTGGTTGTTCAGCCACGTGGTTAACACCCCAGCAACTGGTTGTTCAGCCACGTGGTTAACACCCCAGCAACTGGTTGTTCAGCCACGTGGTTAACACCCCAGCAACTGGTTGTTCAGCCACGTGGTTGACACCCCAGCAACTGGTTGTTCAGCCACGTGGTTAACACCCCAGCAACTGGTTGTTCAGCCACGTGGTTAACACCCCAGCAACTGGTTGTTCAGCCACGTGGTTAACATCCCAGCTATTTCTGTATAACCGAGGAGAGCCTACCAGTAGCCAGGTTGTATTGGGCTGGACGTTACCCCCCTTACTTCCCCCGCCCCCTCGGACGCCCCCTCGGACGCCCCCTTACTTCCCCCGCCCCCTCGGACGCCCCCTTACTTCCCCCGCCCCCTCGGACGCCCCCTTACTTCCCCCCCCCTTTTGCTGGGTATCATAGCTGTGAGGCTGTCGTGTACTGACGTGTGCCGCTTATATAAAGATGAGTGTTGTAGGCGGGCATATACAGGTGGGAGGCAGTGTGTGGGGTACTGTCCTTGAGAAGCTCTGGAGGTCTAGGTCACAACACTCTCAAGAAAGAAAACATTACTATAACGACGTGAGGGGGGTGGGGGGGGGGGAGGGTTAATGGATAAAATTGTCAATATTCCTGTTTATTCTTTTTAATTTCTACCACAGACGTGGCCACACATTTACAATGCTAACCAGCATATATACATTTTCTTCTGTCCTCCATGGACAGGGTTAGAGATGTGTTAAACATATAGTTCAGGGGTTTATTGAACAATCAACCACAGAAGGTGATTCGGTGCTTTTAAAATGCTAAGCTAACCTACATACGTAAATACATAGATACACAGATTTACGTATGCCCTACATAAAGTGCTCGGTGTGTCTTTTACATAGTGTCATTAATGTGCATTTACAAAAGGTGAAATGTAATTCTGATCAGCTGGTTAGAACTGGCACACTGACAACTTACCTGCCAATAAAAGCAATGCATTAAACCCACTGACTTAGATTTACTTCTCAGACTTGAAATCAACTTTAAGATACTGGGGAAGGAATTATCAGGGAAGAGCACCTTGTTGTTGCTATAGATTCAGCCACTCGGAACAAGTTCCAAGTAGCACGGGCTATGGTGAGCCCGTACTGGACTTACCTGGCACAGGAGCGAGACTGTGTGTCGGGAAAGCACTGTCATTACGACTATATAGCACTTGGAAGGGGTCTGGTTAAGGATTAGGGATGGGACGAGGGAGGGGAATGGTGCCCAATCACTTGGACGGTCGGGAATTGAACGCCGACCTGCATGAAGGAAGACCGTTGCTCTACCGTCCAAGCCAAGTGGTTGGGTAAGATACTGAGGAGTATACCCGTATTTATCGTGAGTATACAGAGTTTAGTCTTGAACTATGTTAGCCAGTATACTGGCTGGTTGGTCAGCCTGGTACTGTGGTATACTGGCTGGTTGGTCAGCCTGGCACTGTGGTATACTGGCTGGTTGGTCAGCCTGGCACTGTGGTATACTGGCTGGTTGGTCAGCCTGGCACTGTGGTATACTGGCTGGTTGGTCAGCCTGGCACTGTGGTATACTGGCTGGTTGGTCAGCCAGGCACTGTGGTATACTGGCTGGTTGGTCAGCCAGGCACTGTGGTATACTGGCTGGTTGGTCAGCCAGGCACTGTGGTATACTGGCTGGTTGGTCAGCCTGGCACTGTGGTATACTGGCAGGTTGGTCAGCCTGGCACTGTGGTATACTGGCTGGTTGGTCAGCCTGGCACTGTGGTATACTGGCTGGTTGGTCAGCCTGGCACTGTGGTATACTGGCTGGTTGGTCAGCCTGGCACTGTGGTATACTGGCTGGTTGGTCAGCCAGGCACTGTGGTATACTGGCTGGTTGGTCAGCCTGGCACTGTGGTATACTGGCTGGTTGGTCAGCCAGGCACTGTGGTATACTGGGTGGTTGGTCAGCCAGGCACTGTGGTATACTGGGTGGTTGGTCAGCCAGGCACTGTGGTATACTGGCTGGTTGGTCAGCCTGGCACTGTGGTATACTGGCTGGTTGGTCAGCCAGGCACTGTGGTATACTGGGTGGTTGGTCAGCCAGGCACTGTGGTATACTGGCTGGTTGGTCAGCCAGGCACTGTGGTATACTGGCTGGTTGGTCATCCAGGCACTGGTGGTGGCCTTAATAACCCTCCAGAGGGTGATGCGCCTGAAGCCCAACATGAAACAACTATTCGTTTATTGTTTACGCGTGTGCACATGTGACGTGTTGCTTAAGTCCTATACAGTAGTATACATGGTAACACTGATCCTGCCTGGGACTGTGATTGAGGTTCATATTGAACCCAGCGAGAGGTAAGTCTTGGACCCTTGTACACGGCCCAAGTACTCCTACTGCAAGCTCATCATGGCCCTGTAGGTAGTGCGTGTGCTTGGCGTCCAGTGATGCGGGTTCGATCCAATTATACGGCTTTAATATGTAATTATAAATAATATATGTATACAATGTTAATGGTCTCGTTGTTCACAAGATTGACTCTGTCTCTGTCTGTGACACAGGGAGGAGCAGGAGGTGTGTCTGCCGGAGCCTGGCCGCTACGCTACGGGCATCTTCTACATGGACCGCGCCCACCACCAGGAGAGCGAGCAGCTCTTCGCCGACCTCGCCGCCTCCCATGGCCTCAAGGTCAGTACATCCCCCTCCTCACTCACATGCTTCACTAAGGCAGCTGTTTCCCCTAGTTCTCCGGCCATATTTTAATGTGGCGGTGATCTTATCACACTTGTAAGGTGCACGGTGTTTGATGGCAACGTTGTAAGTTCAGGGGCGGTGGTGCATTTGTCGTGTCTACGCTTGAAACTGTGTGTGGAGTCTGCCTCCACCACATCACTGCCTAGTGCAGTCCATCTGTTAACAACTTTACACACTCAAAATGTTCTTTCTAATGTGTGTGTGGCTCATCTGGGTACACGGTTCCACCTGTGTCCTCTTGTGCGTGTACCACCTGGGTGAAATAAACTGTCTTTGTTGTCTCGATCAATTCATCTGAGAATCTTGTATATGGTGATCATGTATCCCCTAACTTCCAGCGATGTGAGTTCGGTGTCCTAGTCTCCTTGTGTAGCTCATGCCCCTTCAGCTCGGGTACTACTCCGGTGGTATGCCTTCGAATCTTCTCCAGTTTAGTCTTGTTTGACTAGATAGACTCCAGGCTGGGGCTGCACACTCCAGGATAGGTCTGACGTATATGGTTCTAAATGATTCATTATACAAGTTTCTAAAAGGTAGTTCTTATATTGGCCTACCTAGCATATGCCGCTGATGATATCTTGATGTGGGCTTCAGGGGACAGGTCTGGTGTGATATCAACCCCAAGTCTTTCTCACTTCCTGATGCTTGAAAGATTTCAGCTCCCAAATGGTACCTTGTATCTGGCCTGATCCCTACACCTACCTAATTTCGGGTTTGCTCGGGTTAAACTCTAATAGTCATTTGTTGAACCATTCTTTCAGTTTGTTCAGGTCATCTTGAAGCCTCATGCTGTCCCTCTGTGTCTTAATCCTCCTCATAATTTTGGCATCATCAGCAAAAATAGAGAGGAATGAATGTATACCCTCCGAAAGAATATATATGTATATCAAAAGCAGAATAGGTCCGAGTACAGAACCCTGTGGGACTCCGACAACACGCCATTCCAGGGTCTCCCGTCACAGTAACACTCTGTTTCCTATTGCTTAGGTACTCCCATATCCACTTGAGCATCATACCAGTTATTCCTGCCTGTTTATCCAACTAATATACCAACCTCTTATGGGGTACTGTGTCAAAGGCTTTCTGACAGTCCAAGAAATTGCAATCTACCTCTTTCTTGCTTAAGCTTTGTCACTTAGTCGTAGAATTGTTAGACCTGCGAAGCTAGATTTGGCATCCCTTAACCCATGTTGTTGGCGAGTCACAACAACATGCTTTCTCTCCAGATGAATTACTAGATTTTTCTTGCGATCTTCTCCATCACATTGCCTGGTATACAAGGCCTGTGGTTCAAGTCCTATATGTTTAGGGACACTGGCCTGTAGTTCAGTGCCTCTTGCCCTTTGTGTATATTGGGACTACATTAGCCGTCTTTCATATTTGTGGTAAGTCTCCTGGTGACTTGTTCACCATGGAGAGTGGTATGTGTCAAGTAGTCGTCAAGTATTTTATTGTTGTCTAGGGCAGTAAGGCTTTGGCTTGAGCCAATTGGAATAAAATGAGTAGGGAAAAAGCCAAGCAAGAAGATGAGTTATATTTATAAACAAACACGACATTACATAACATAAATAATTTCTTAAAAATGAATGCATTCAGAAGGAAAACAAACTTATATCTTATCAGGCAAACTGGCTGTGGTTCCCACACAGCTCTTACTCCAACAGTGAAACTGTGCACCCCAGCACTACCTCTGTCAACCGGGGCCGCACCTATATAAATCCATAGGAAATCTGGACCCTCTCAGAAACTATTCAGTAGGCTATCAGTGCATTCTACCCTTCCTTGCAACCCTGTGGCTTAACAGATTATACGCCCGGAAAATCCCTCAGGAGACAGGGACCGGTCAGACAGCTGGTGCTCTGCGTCAGGTCAAAAAAATGACGTCCCCCCCCCCCCCCGGTTGCCATTGCCTCCTTAATACTCCAGTCTTCAACATTCGCAATCAAACTCCTTAATAGCTCCATTAACAACATTCCCCGTGCAGGTCTTCTGACGGAGTCCACTGTTCCCTCACACAGTTTGGCTATTCCAGTACACATTACTCACGAAGGATCTCCAGCTGAAGGGCACTACTTTACTGGCGGAGTGATACGTCACTCGCGGCCTCTCACCTCCCACCTCCAGATTTCTTTCAAGAAAACATTCTCTAATCGACTCCTTCATATTAATGAACACTTTATAATAAAGATTAACCTCCAGAGGAGGTAAGGTTCGTAAGAGCAAGCAAAGGGGTTCTGCGCACACTTTAGTATCAATGGTGAGATTCCCTCTGGTCCAACAGCCTCTCACGTCCAGATCCGACAAATATCTTCCAACTTCATCTCTGGTAATTTCGAAGCCTTCCAAAGCTGCCTGGTTTATTGCCGCGTCTTAGTTTAAGGTCTACTCGTTCTACTGCGAATTTCTTTTCTACTGGAATTTCTTGTTCTTCACACATCTTTCTTTGTCATTCTCTGTGTATCTGTCCTCGCCCACTATTCTGTTTAATCACCTGTTCTTTCACTGTTTTGCGCCTGACGTGTCTGGAACAGTTTTGGGACGGTCTTGGCTTTATTTGCTATGTTACTTTCATGCTGTCTGTTTCTCTTCTCGCACCGAGATATTCATCCCAGGCCCTCTGGTATCTCCTCTGCTTTCTGGCATTCTGATGGTTCTGTAGTTCCTCCAAGCTTTGTATTTGATCACCTTGCTTCCTCGCATGGCCGAGTGAACCATGCTTCCTCGCATGGCCGAGTGAACCATGCTTCCTCGCATGGCCGAGTGAACCATGCTTCCTCTTTTGCTTTTCCTTTTTCCCTTTTGGTCCTAAAACTTTTTTTTATATACAGTCTCCTGACACTTTTGTGGGACATACTCCATCATGTCTTGTACAGACTTTACCGAGTTCTGTTTCTCATGGTATTTCTGGTAGGAATTTTCTCGTCTCCTCACAGTGATTCTATTCGGTACGTCAGCCCTTTGCTTTCTGGTCCTTTTTAGGGGGGGAATTACCCCTAACCTATACCAAATACTCAAATGATAATACTCTGTCGTCACTCATTCCCATGAGGGCTCTCAACTCTATTTCTCTTATGTCGACTCATTCGAGGTATATCAGATAGTCTAGCTAGTTCATGTCCTCTCAGTTTTGTGGGTCTCTTGACGTGTTGGCTAAGGATATTTCTTGTTGCCACGTCCAGTAGTTTAGCTCTCCAGGTTTCTGGTCTCCACGTGTGTGGGGGAATGGCTAAGTGGATCAATAGGTCTTTGAACAAGTGCCAAACATTAATGAATTGGGTGAGGTTGGAGGTCACGAGCGAGGGGTCGTCCCAAAGGGGGTTGTGGTGAACTCGTCTGCCTCTCGGAGCAGGAGAGATTGCTGAAATAGAGGGAATAAAGAGAACATATACAGCACACAATAGACACGATAAAACCATCTAAACTATTGGGACCGTCTCAAGCTCTCAAAATGTACTTTCTGGAAAGACGATGAAGGTATCAAATAATATATACATGGAAGATACTGGAAGGCCAGGTTCCAAATTTGCACAGTAGAATAACAACATATTGGAAGGAAAGGTACGGAAGGAAATGCAGAAAAGAACCAGTGAGAAGTAGAGGTTCCATAGGCACAATCAGACAACACTGTCTAAATATCAGAGGTCCACAGTTGTTCAACACCCTCCCGGCAAACATTAAGAATATTACAGGAACAAAAGTGGACTTCTCCAAGAACCAAGTAGATAAGTTCTTGCAAGACGTACCGGACCAACCAGGCTGTAGTGGATATGTGGGCCTGCGGGCAGCTGCAAGCAACAGCCTGGGTGGACCAATTATCACACGTCGATCCTGGCCTCAGCCCGGGCTATGGGAGTTATCTTCAGGTTGTCCTAAGATGCTTTCGGGGCTTAGCGTCCCCGCGGCCCGGTCCTCGACCAGGCCTCCATTTTGTTACACACCCTCAGGAAGCAGCCCGTAGCAGCTGTGTAACTCCTAGGTACCTATACTGTTAGGTGAATAGGTGCATCAGGGCGAAATAAACTCTACCCATTTGTTTCCGTCTCCGCCGGGGATAGAACCCGGGACCTTAGGACTACGAATACCGACCGTATTCCACTCAGCCGTCAGGCCGCGTGACGAAGTGTTAGTAGTAAAACTCCCGAGACCCGCTCCAGGTGAGGGCGTGATGTGTTGTGTGTGGTGGTGGCGGGGGCGGGAGATTTCTCACAGCCTCTCAGTAATGGGCTGTGTGAAAGCTTGCCACACACAGCTGGGGTAGTGACCAGTTACCTCCCCCTCCCCTCCTTCCCCTCCCCCTCCTACCCCTCCCCCTCCCCCTCCTACCCCTCCCCCTCCCCTCCTACCCCTCCCCCTCCCCCTCCTACCCCTCCCCTCCTACCCCTCCCCCTCCATTTACCTGTCTCCCTTCCCCTACACTCACCAGTGCCACTGTACAAGTGCCGTTGAGCGCTCTTAACGCTGGTGTGTGCGAGAGGGTGTCATGGTGTTGTGGCGGGAAGAGTAATGGCGTCCACATTTCCTGTCGAAATCGATATGCAAACGTTCGTGTGTGGGGGGGGGGGTGTTGCCCTCTCCCTCGCTGCTGATATCTTGGTGGTGATGTTACCCTCTCCCTCGCTGCTGATATCTTGGTGGGGGGGGGGGTTACCCTCTCCCTCGCTGCTGATATCTTGGTGGGGGGGGGGTTACCCTCTCCCTCGCTGCTGATATCTTTGGGGGGGGGGTTACCCTCTCCCTCGCTGCTGATATCTTGGTGGTGATGTTACCCTCTCCCTCGCTGCTGATATCTTGGTGGGGGGGGGGGTTACCCTCTCCCTCGCTGCTGATATCTTGGTGGGGGGGGGTTACCCTCTCCCTCGCTGCTGATATCTTGGTGGTGATGTTACCCTCTCCCTCGCTGCTGATATCTTGGTGGGGGGGTTACCCTCTCCCTC